ATCTTGCTACATCTATTATTGTCACATTGCTTCAAATAGTATACGGGCTTGAATTTAAACATTCTTTGGTCTCTTGGATAGTTGTAATATGTGAGTAAATTTATTGATTAAAACACATTATTTATAAAATAATTACTTCAATGCATATTCCATTAACATTTGGGAGTACTCAAAGTTTTCTTATTTAAAAAAATGGAAGCACTAAAAAGACTGTTGTAAGTAAGTTAAACATTGTAAGATTTTTGAAACTGTGCGTACTTGTAATTTGTGAAAATATTCTACAGAAATATACCTTTATTTAAACGATAAACTAGTTTCCACTATTCTTGAACGACAAATCGCGTAAGCATCTCCAGGAACGCTGGTCGCGGCTTGACTCAGAAACGTTTTAGCACGTCAAGCTATGATCCACGCGCGACGCGCACGCCGCGCACTAGAAAATATTTAATATTTTCGGATCTAATAAAGTCTCCACATTTCTTAAGTGTGGGTTTTTTAGATTAAAACATACTGCACACGATAGTATTTTTTTAAATGTTATTCATTGAGGGGGCAAATGTAAAATAATTGTTTAAACAATAAAATTGTTAATAACTTTTTTAAATAACAGAATGAAGATCATTTACATATTCATTAAAGAGCTAACATAACACGGTAAGGAATTAAAAAAAAAACGAAATCGATTGAATGAGTAAAACCAGAAATAATGAATTTTATATACATGAGTAATTATCATTTCTTCGATTATCATTGAAATTAAAAATAAATATACCTATCAAAAAAAAATGTTCTCTCAAAAATCGTGATACAGGAGTCACATTATTTCTTGAATAGAAGCTGTAAAAAAATTTTCATGAGAATCTAAATTCTACAGTCGAAAAAAGTGTTCGATTTGTAAAAGAATACCTCATATAACTGATTCACGCCCTTTGTCTGTAACATCTTGAAAATAAAGACGCTATTATTATTATTATTATTATTATTATTATTGCTGTTGCTGTCGTCGTCGTCGTCGTCGTCGTCGTCGTTGTTGCTGCTGCTGCTGCTGCTGTTGTTGTTATTATTATTATTATTATTATTATTATTATTATTATTATTATTATTAAACCGCGCCAGATCCTGGGAAAAAACTTCTAACGTAAGAGTTAGCTCCAAATCTGTAAGAACCTCTCAAGCTCTCTATGATTAAGTAAAGACGTTTTATTGAGCACGATACTTTTTACTCTGTATCTCATCTAACTTCAGTCATAACTTTTCGACCAGAAGAATAGAGGCAGCTCATTCCGTTTACCTCACGAAACACAAATATTTAATATGTGTTGATGATATTGTAATGCTAGCATATTCGTTGATGGGTCTAAAGCGATGTTGAAATGTCTCGAGCAATACTGTCAGGAGAACCTTCTAAAATTAAATACTGAAATATTGGACGTAGTTTTCCATGAAGGTACCTAAGTATACGTTTATACATGAAGTATGTAAATCCGAGATCATCAAAGAATTTTTCTTCCTTGGCGTAGTATTCTCCACATCAGACTAATTCGGAACTGCAGAAAAAAACAGACAGGTTGTGACGTAGCATATTTACCCCGCCCGTTAGAGTAAGGTAATCAGTGCGAGCTACACCGGGAACTCAATGACGAGGCGAACTCGTTAGACGAGAGGCAATGCCAATGCATCAAGTAGCCCAGAACGTATTCTAATCCACGTGATTTTATTTTATTTTAAACGATACTACCTATGTTGTGACGTGGTGGATTTCACTCGTTCATGTCCTTGGCGGAAAATCACGCCGAAACGCGAGAGTGGCGTAAGGCCACGGCAAAAGTCCAGACAGGATCCACCGATCGCAAGGGCCAATGAAAGCATATGACATGATATTTGATTATTTTCTGTTGTTTCGCTGTGTACTCTGCCGGAGTTCGAATAGATCGCTCGCTTGCCGTGCCCGTAAAGACTCGGAGAGACAGAGAGATGGACGAGCCAGCAGGAGTTCCAGGAGGAGGGAGTTGCGATGCGCGAGGGTCGACACTCGAATTATCTCTGGAGAGCAACTCTACTGGCCCAGGAGGCGCGCGCAGCGCGGGACAGGTGTGACGTCACGCGGCGGCAACGCGCCCTACCCGGCTGAGACTCAACCACGACGACTGGAAGTGGCGTGCACAGCGCTCAACAAATGAGCACCGCTAACGACCCCTGTGGCCTAACACGCACCGTTAGCTTTCGCATAATTATATTTCCGCGAGTTGGGAATCCAGGGACGCCTGGTGCACCTTCGCATGATGACAAAGGAAACTCGTCGTAGGACCGATATTTATGAATTGTCCACAATTTAATAAGCAAATTATTAATTTTCGCGATGACATCTTCGAAGATGGCGCGTGGCGAAGATTCTGGGTTGGACGGATTCGTCCGCAGGGCGAATCGCCGCCCATTGACCTAAGGGAGGGGGTGCTATCCTTCACGCGAAGACAGCGCGTGAAGATCGGAAATCTATCCTGCTTGGACACGCGATGTCGCCGCACGTTTTGCTGATTTGCTTGGAAGTTTATACGCAAATGCACATAGTGCTGAGAGGCAGCAGCTTGGGTTTTCTTGGATTACGCGAACAAGGGAACGCCACGGTAAGCGAGTACATTTGACTTTTGTGAGCGATGTATTTTTGTGCAGATCTTGGAATTTGGTTTTGTTGCTTCGTGATTTGACTGTGCGTGCAAAGGACACGCGGAGGGGCGACCCCCCACTTTGATTTTGACTAAGGCACGAAGGTCCGTCGACGGGCAGGATTCACTGATTTGATCTTTTGCTTCGATATTCTGGAATAGAAATTGTGTAATGTATTTCCGAATTGTTTCATGTCGTCCCGCCCGTAAGGAAGCTGTAATTCTTGATTGTGCAACGCGTAGAATGCGTACAGGTCCTTGACGGTCAGTTATCGTGTTGCGGTGAACGCATGAGCCGCGTCACAATTTGATTTTAAATTTGTCAGGTACGCAAAGTACCAAGTAATATTTTTCTTTTAATTGTACTTCTGTTATCGTTTTTTGATGTTCAATTCCATTACTAATTTTTTCTTGTAATTATCATTTCGGTATTATACAAAATCGTTGCGCTTCGCGCTGCCGATTTTCTTTAATAAACCGAAACTTTTGATGTTATATTGAAGCCCCCGAATTCTTTTGTGTGTCGCGTGACTGTTTGACCTAACCAACCTATTGTTCCGAATCCCGACGCCTCCTCGATCGCGTAAAAGACGTCACAATTTATAGGACGGCCACCTAGACAGAGATGACGGAGAAACGTTAACGAATAGTTTCGTCCGCCGCCCAATCACGACCGTTGTTCCCGAGTATTTGCAGCCCCTAGTGAAATACCCCCGATTTAGTTGTGTTCGAGATTGCCAACAGGCTATAGGCTCTTACTATGTTCCTAGAAACTTCACTGACCATCCAGGGGCTTCGGGGTCAGCCTGGCGCTGTGCATCGAAAGTTTATTGAGAGTGGATGTGAACCCTGTCCTCGGGAGCAACAGAAAACCGTGGTTTCCTAGAAAATTGGAGTAGCGTAACTGCACGGCTGATAAGGCAATCCCGGCCAATTCGGATACCGATTAAGGGATAGCCCGCTCAGTTGTCAATTCGCGCAGTAGGTCTTTGAAATTACAGTTTGCTTGAAATTAGTTCTGATGTAACCGTCGTACCCATTAGTGCGGAACATTTAGGGAGCCATTATTGAGTAACCAACAGAAAGTAATTAAAGAACCGTATAAGATTGTATAATATGTAACTGTACTCGTTGCGGGACTTACGTTGTTTGGGAAACAGCCGTATAACGGGGTGGCAATGTATACGTAAGTCATAGTAGAATATTCTGAATCCTTACTGCCTCATTGTTGTCTCCTACAAGAAAGTTCCATTAGAGTGGACTATCGCATTTAGGCGACGCGGAAAGTCCAGGATTGTTTTCCTTAGCGACAAAACTTTAGTAGTAGTAAATTATATATAAAATTTCATGAATTTAATTTGTATTTTTGTATTGCGTCCGTATCCCGTTTCAGAGTCATCCAGAATGGGTGGGGTGAATCTTCCAGGTTACCTCTTGTCTCCATTTTGAGAATAACTATTATTTATTTATTTAAATTGTTAATGTATTGCGTTTTGTCCATGTCACAGGATCGCATAAATATCCGCGAACGCACCAGCCAGCTTTACGGTATAATCAGTGAAATTTGATATTTGCGAAACTTTCTATTTTTCTCTGTATTTATATACTTTTATTTAATACATTTACTTTCAGTTCCGTTTAAAGTAATCTGTGCGCGTCCTTCTTTCAAGTTTTTGTAAAGTCTGTCCCCTGCCCGTCTTTGAGACCACACGATCGCCGCTACGGTTGCAGAATAGAGTAACAAACCCCTTTCTCCTATAATTGAGCTTGTCGGGATACCGCGTCCGACCGGAGAAAATTCGAAAGGGAATTTTAAGTCGGTTGAAAGAATTTGAAGAGCGCGAGAAGAGGGAAGGTATTGTATATTTCTCCGGGGCGGAAATATCTAGCGCCAAAAGCTTTGCTCCGACTCCCCTCTCTCCTAATAACGTCGAGATTATTTGAGTTCAATTGATACCTTATTCTCATTATTCATAATAACGTTCATCCTCCCTAAATTCTGGGTGGGATTATAATTGTAGCATTACAAGGTTTGGCATTACCATTGTAACTGCAGCACTTAAATTACTCTCCGCTATAGAGTCAGACTCGTGGGAAATGAAAGAAACTTTACTCCAGGGACTAGTTATTAGTGATCTAATGTATGGAGTAAAGGTGTGGGAGCCGCGAAAGGTAGAACATTTTTTTAAGAAAATGCGCTATCTCCATTGATTCTGAGCTACGTGGCGATTCGAATTCAGATAGGGACGACGCCGCTTGCACTTCTAGTCTTAAAAATGGGATAACTTGTATATTTTTCATACTAATTGCACAAAGGAAGAATTTTATTGGCCAAACCTGATACCACGTGAAGTACATGCTTCGGGTGTTAAGCCATCCATCTTTGTCCATCTGCAAAAATCAATATGGCTGCCATCATTTGGCTATATAAATCAAAGCAGAATATACCAAGAATTTTAAGTCGGTATGTAATGATTCATGTGATTTAAATGAGGAGATATAAAAATTATACTTACTCAGGAGAAATTAAATCAGATTCTGTTTCATATAGCTCTGGCAATCGTTCCAAACCCAAATACTCTCTGCGCATTCTGTCGATGTCATGTTTCAATGGTTGGTAGTCATTATTGTGAATCAATTTTGCAGTTTCTCTGGCCCTATTCCGCGCTTCTTCAGCTTGCTTTATTACAGTTTCCATCTAAAATCAATTTTTGTTAAATTTCGTATATATTCAGAAACACTTGTAATTTATTCAACACACTGATATACAGGGTGTTCCGAAATTACCTGACCAACTGGGTATGACGGTGTTCGGGAGGCGCCACTGATCGCGAAAATGACCTTCCTTTTGTCCGGAAGATCATAGTTTTTTAAACGGGAGCAGGTCAAAGTTGACCAATCAGAGCGAAGCGTCAAGAGAAACGCAGGCACCTACGAACTCTGAGTTTTCTTCCCTCGATTTTATTTCTCGGTGGCTTCGGGTAGGATGGCGTCATTCGAAAACATGCCTATTGGATGTCACTCACTGAGAACGGAGGTTCTCAGTTGAAGAAATATAAGAAATAAGTCAAGTGGCATTATCATAGGACATTGTAGTTTTCAGTTAGTGCTTGACTATTCAACTGAGAACCTCTGTTCTCACGAAGTGATATCCAATGGCATGTCTTCGGCTGACTTCATCCTGCCCGAAGCCACCGAGAAATAAAATCGAGGGAAGAAAACTCAGAGTTCCTAGGTGCCTGCGTTTCTCTTGACGCCTCGCTCTGATTGCTCAACTTTGACCTGCTCCCATTTAAATACTATGACCTTCCGGACAAAAAAATGTCATTTTCGTTATCAGTGGTGCCTCCCGAGCACCGCCATACCCCGTTGGTCAGGTAATTTCGGAATACCCTGCATACTGCAAAAAAAGAAAAAAAAATAGAAGAAAGATTTATAATTTTCAAAGATTGAAAAGGTAGAAAGGTACAGTCAACTGCATTAATGGTGTCAACGGTAGTCGCCGTGCGGTTAGGTAAAAGAGGAGATTGGGCGGCGCCTGCTCACAATCTTGGCATGTGCGTGCAACGCAGAAAGCACTACGGTGCGAGTGAGACGCCAGAGGGTCGCTCGGTGCGTCCTTGTTGCACAGCACGAGTGTAAGCGAGACGCCAATAAGGCCCCTCATGCGCAATAGGGAGCTTGGTGGAGGACTGCTCGTGTCCGGGCACACGCTCTTGTTCTCTCTCAAACTAGCGCTCTATGGCAAGGACAGCTATTACCTCGATAAGAAACGAGAAAGAACTACGCGACTCTCACCAGTGCGAATGAGATAGACTTTTTGATTACCCATCCTCGTCAAACAGCTTTAGTGTGACAAAGACAGATAGCTGCGACGTAGTGTCTAGGAACAAGTGTCCAGCGTCTAACGCATTAGGTGCAACATAGTGTCGAGGAATAGGTTTCAGCTTCTGGACGCAGTGCGCTGAGGTAAGAGAGCAGACTGAGCGGTGACTGTCGTCTTACCGGAATACGTGCGTGCAACGCAGAGAGCGCTATGGTGCCACTGAGAAGCCAAAGCGTCCTACGGTGCGCAAGTGCATCGCTTATTTTACATCTGGTCAATCTGGTTTTACATCTGTGGTAAAATTCATAAACATTTGCAGGAAGCTCTTTTACAGAAACCGTTTATGAAATTTCAAAAACACCATTGAATGTTAAATAACGTGTACATTAAAAGTGAAGTCATCGAACACTAATATTACAATTCAAGTATTGTAATTTTCAGTCCTAAATGTATGATTGCATTACAGTTGATTGAAAATTCTTCAACCTCTTATTAATAATCAGAGTCGAATATATTATATTCGCTTAACGCATAATAAAATTAATGCTTGATTACAATTTTACAAAACAATATACATTAATACTCATTTGCGTTACCTATATTCTAAATATTATATGCACCTATGTAGTAAGTTTCATCTTTTGTGTTATAAATTTCTTAACTTTTTTAACAGTGTAGTGAAACTTGATACAGGAGGCGGCAGAACACAAAGCGATGTCGAGTCACACTCGACATCGGACGTGCTAGAACGGAAAGCGATGTCGAGCCATACTCGTATTCGGACTGCAAAGGGTTAACGATACCGAATTATGAGATCGCTACCCGACGCGAGAGGATCTTTACGAGATTAGATATTAACTAGAGCCTCCATTTGATCGTTTTGTTGTAATACTTGGAAGAATGGTCGTCGAAATCTGGATTCCACTGGAGTCTACGCATGATACATTGGCGTACGTCGCCTTGTCGCGATGGAACGCAGTAATGATCAGGATAGCCTGCTGTCGTCATTCCTGGATGTCCAGGTGATGTTGGGTGTGTATCTTCGCTCAGTCCTGTGTGGACGGAACCTCGAAATGGCGGAGGGTCCTTTCTTCTCTGCCTAGGGTAGCTCCCTGAGCTCCCTCTTCGGTACGGATGCCGTTAGCTAGGCATCGGTACCAGAACTGACGTGACGATCAGTTGTCCATGGCGATCTTCTCGTCGAGTCTGCTATCTACTTTATTCGGGGATGCCCGTAGCGGGCTGAAGGTTTCTGCTGGAAATGGCGTTCCTCCACGCTCCCTGGCGTGACCATGCACAGTTTCCTTCGGCGAGACTGAGAAAGGTGTTATTCTCGCTGCAGGTACAGAGTATATACTCGAGACCCTAGAGTTCTTGGCCGGTTATCTTAGTTAGCGCGACTTTAAGGGACAGTACTACATCCCGCGTGATAAACACGACAGTTAATTCATTCCAGACTTTTGACGTGAAATAACGTCACAATACATAAATATAATTATATTATAGGTGGTTTCATTTACAGGTTGTCCGAAAAATCATAAATATCAGTAATAGAATTGTGATTAAGGATAATGCAGTTGTATACATTTTAAAGTGGCATTGCGGACATGAAGCAGCCACAGCCAGCAACTGCCCAGAGTTATTGGATAAAGAGCTGTGAGATAGAACATTAATAGTCCGGAAAGGATACGAATCTGCCTCACAAGCGCTCCATGACTTTTAACAAGGTAACCAAAATTATAGGAAGTGGTGCCAGATAAGCTCGTTATAATTATAAAATATATCTTGTATTTTAGAATGTTACCTGATTTATAGCCATGGGAATAAGGTGAACACTACGAAACGCAAGATGTTATTTAATTGATCCAGGTAACAATTAATTTAATCTGCAATTATAAAATCAAGAGACAATCGAGTCTCGCACCAAGTACAAGTCACGTAGCACCAATAGCGAATGAGTCATGGTACGAAGATTTGAAGCACCTCTTGTATCTGTGATATGACTAGCTATACTATAGTGGGTTCACCAACAAAATATGTGGGATTCATAGCTTTTATACATTGAATATTACAAATTGTGACGTGAGTCCCCAGAATCGCGCCACAAAATTTAATAAATTTCCTTTTCTCTCTCAACCTAAGCTCCGCACGACAATCCACTAGCGAAATTCCGTCTAAAACATTATTCTTAAGGTTTCCGTTTGTGAACGTCTATTATCGTCCGTTCTATCACTTCCGATCTCGTTTCGTAATACTGATTGAGTTTTTGCTTTTTGTCACGCTTTAATCAATCTCGACTCTCGAGTCTCTCTACAACGACATAAGGGCGTGAGGACCCGACATCATCATTGTGGAGTTTGAGGATTTTCTGGCGATTACGTTTGGCTGTCGATGTCGATTTTGAGAATTTTTGAGTGAAGAACAACCTTGGAGGGATCAGTACACCGCTCCCACCGACCAACAAGGGGAGGGCACGGCGTTGGTCACACGGATTTCGAAGTTCTTTTGGGGTAGGAAAGTATTTTGTAGTAGCAGTCTACAGGCCAATTGGCAGGACCCAAAGGGGAGCCGTTTTCGAAAAAAAACCGGTTTCGAAAACGCAACACTTCATATACCTACACCGTTGCTAATGTTTTCAAGAAGGGGGCACCTGAGCGGCCAGGGTTCGATTCCCGACCACAAATAGATTTTTTTGCCACCAAATTGATTGAAGAAAGAGTTATATTTTTAAATGTAAACGAAATATGCTTTCCTCTGTCGCTTTCGAAAAAACATTGTAAGTGCGATGACTTTACATTCATAAAATGTGCGTGGTGTGAAAACAATTTATGTTTTTCATGCTTTTATGATAACTACCATACGAATAGATGAAACGGCTGTACAGAAAACAACAGTAATAGCGACTAATAAAGAATAATTGTAAACCAAAATATTCTGTGAATCTTTATAACATTTTGTAATAAATCAGTGTTTGATAATTAAAAATAATAGTGTTCCAATCCACTTATTTCGTACGTAAATTGACAAAATTGTTGATAGATAAACATGGCCTGTCGGGTAGTAAAGAAAAATTATCATATATAAAAAAAAAATCTATTTCTGGTCCGGAATCGAACCCTGGCCGCTCGGGTGGTAGTCAGGCCCGTTGTCACCGAGGTACGCCGCCTTCTCGAAAACATTAGCAACGTCCCAGGTATGCAGGGAGACGAGGCCCACGTCAGCGCCTCCGTCCAGCCGAGAGGCCGCCGACCATCCCTTACTCGTTAAGCCCAGCATGCTTCGAGGGCCATGCCTTCAGGATCGCCGTTCGTCCCCACTCGGCCGTTATCGCCGCTGCGCATCGACGCTCGGCTACCTTCGTCAACGTTCGTCCTCAGAGAGACGGAGAGACAGAGAGACAGAGAGACAGAGAGACGGAGAGACAGAGAGACAGAGAGACAGAGAGACGGAGAGACAGAGAGACAGAGAGACAGAGAGACGGAGAGACAGAGAGACAGAGAGACAGAGAGACGGAGAGACAGAGAGACAGAGAGACAGAGAGACGGAGAGACAGAGAGACAAAACTAGAAGTAGAGGTAGAGGTAGAGAGACAGAGAGACAGAGAGACAGAGAGACAGTAGGAGTACGAGCAGGAGTACGAGCAGGAGTACGAGCAGAAGTACGAGCAGAAGTACGAGCAGGAGTACGAGCAGGAGTACGAGCAGGAGTACGAGCAGGA